CTGGGGAGTACTCGTGTGTGTGCGGGCAGGAGAGGACCTCAGCCACGCTGACCATCAGGGGTAATGTCCCTCTGCCACCCCATGGTGTTTTGGGGACACTGTCCTTGTCTCATCCTCTGTCTCTTCCCATGGTTCTGTTCCATTTTCCTTCTCCTGTGTTTCTCTGCCCTGTCTTGTCTTTTGTTGTAGCACTGCCTGTGTCAAGGTGTCTGTCCTAGCCTCCCCACCCAACCTCACTCAGACAGTTGTGGTGATGGGTACAGCATTCCCTTTGTGCTCCCCAGTCAGCCCTCCCCACCTGTCCTCTCTGAGCCTCTGCATGCCATGCTCACCCAAGGTGCTTGTCTGGCTGGTGACTGTGTCGCTGGGTCAGGAGGTCGTCCTGGTGCTCTGTGTGTCCCATGGGTATCAGTGCCTGCCATGCCGTGTGCCCTGGGGCATGGACCTCTGCTTAGGATTCTGAAGGATGGAGCCCTCCCTTCCCTGGAGACTGCAGGACATGGCCATACACTTGGATCTGGCCCTGGCAGGAGACTCTGCTTTGCCTAACATATGAAGGACATGGCTCTGTCCCAGAGCATGGGAGAAGCAGGGCCATGTCCTTGAGTGTGGATTAGAGGGACAAGGGCTTGCCCTGGGTGGTCTGAGGGGATTCCTGCCCCAGCTGTTGGGAAGACTGCCCTTGGGACTGAGTTTCTGGCAATCACCAGAGAAGTCCTGGTGATATCTTCCCTGCCCCTTCCCTATCCTGGAGGCCCACCCAGACTTGTCCTGGGCTAGGTATGTGGGTCTCAAGCTGCCCCTGTCCCCAGCCCCCCAGGTGGTATTCCGGGAGCCGCTGCAGAGCCTCCAGGCTGAGGAGGGCTCCACAGCCCGCTTGCAGTGTGAACTGTCAGTGCCCGATGCCCCCGTGGTCTGGAGCAAGGGTGGCCTGGAGCTGCAGGGTGACAGGCGCCGGGAGCCAAGGCTGCGGGGCTGCACCGCGGAGCTGGTGCTGCGGGACCTGCAGCGTGAGGATGCGGGCGAGTACAGTTGCACCTGTGGGGCCCATACTACCAGTGCCACGCTCACGGTCACAGGTGGGCGCCGATGCTGTGCTTCCCAGTCTGTGGCCTTTCTGAGGGACCCAGCACAGTGTGGGGGTGTGGGACTCACCTGCGCACCGCCCACTCACGCATACCTGTGACGCCCTAGCTGAGGCTGTGCCCTGTGTCTCTGTGCTGGGGCCACTCAGGCTTCTGCCTTCCTGCTTCATGATGGCCTTGGCAGCCCACCCCAAGATCGCCACCCTGTGTGCACCCCCAGCTCCCCAGCGGACCCAAGTCTGCCGTCACTTCCCTGCCCTGCCCAGGGTCCCTGCTCCTCCTGGCTCTCTCCAGAGGCCTGTGGTTCCTCTGCCCTCATGCTCCCCCCACCCTCTGCAGCGGCACCCGTGCGGTTCCTACGCGAGCTGCAGGCCCAGGAGGTGGAGGAGGGGGACACGGTACGCCTGCGTTGTGAGCTGAGCCAGGCGGGTGCCAGTCTCGAGTGGCGCAAGGGTGCCCTGCAGCTCTTCCCCTGTGCCAAGTACCAAATGCTGCAGGAAGGCTTGACTGCTGAGCTGCAGGTGTGTGGGGCAGAACCAGAAGACTCGGGTGACTACACGTGTGACACAGGCCATGTGCAGAGCACAGCACATCTTATGGTCCGAGGTAAGCTGTCCCCCCTGTTGTCTTGGAAGTCAACTGTATTTGCTCACTGGGGGTGGGTAGCTGGGACCTTGGCATCAAGAGTCCTTTCTGCCCCAGCCCCTGAGCCAAAGTTCCAGACTGGACTGCAGAGTGTGGAGCAGGAGGCAGGTGGCATTGCCAGGCTGTGCTGCCAGCTGAGTGAGATGGAGCCTGGGGCACCAGTGCGGTGGCTCAAGGAGGGCGTGGAGCTGCATCCTGGCCCCAAGTATGAGATGCGGCGCCAGGGGGCCATGTGTGAACTCTTTATTCGTGGCTTGGAGGCCAAGGACACCGGAGAGTATGCATGTGCAGCGGGTGGCCAGAAGACCTCAGCCTCTGTCAAGGTCAACGGTGAGCCCTTCTAACCAGCCTGCTTCCCTGGGGACATACTCCAGATGGCCCTGGCCCTGAGGGCACAGGCTGTCTTCCTCCTTGTCCCCACCCTCATCTGTGGCTGTTCTCCATGTGAGCATTAGTAGGGTACCCGGAGCCTGCGGACCTGGACAGCTACCCTGCCTCCTCTCTCCAGCTGGCAGGTGGCACAACCAGGCCTGTGTGGGCAGCTGCTCCTCTAGGTCTTGCTTTCCTGACCTGGTGGCCCAGCCAGAACAGGGCAGGTGGTGGTGTTGGGCAGGCTAGGCATCCACTGTCTGGACAACTGGCCTGAGGGGAGGCAGGTGCTGGTGGGTACGGGAGGTGACAGAGGCTGTGTGGGGTGGCAGGACAGTGTTGGTGGCCAGGATGTCTTCTCAGAGCCGAGGCCATGGAAGCATGGCCTGGCTGGAAAAGGGCTTTTCTCATCCCCCAGAGCCTGAGGTGACCATTGTACGGGGGCTGGTGGACACTGCGGCCCAGGCTGATGAGGATGTGGAGTTCAGCTGCGAGGTGTCGCAGGCTGGGGCCACAGATGTGCAGTGGCGCCTGCAGGGGCTGCCGCTGCAGAACAACGAGGTGACAGAGATGGCCGTCCAGGATGGCCACACCTACGTCCTTCACCTGAAGGGCGTGACCCCTGAGGACTCTGGCACCGTCTCCTTCCACGTGGGTGGCCACTCGTCTTCTGCTCAGCTCACTGTGCAAGGTGCTGGCTGCTGCCGTTGCTGCCCGGGGAGGGAATGTCCAGGCTGGGCTCCGAGAGGGAGGCAGGCCTGGGCCAGGCTCTTTCCTGGTGGCCCTGGAATGGCAGGGTGGACAAGGCTGAGTCAGGCGTGGGGGGGCGCTGTGGGGGCTCACTCTCCATCTCCGGGTCCTTGGAGGTATGGTCCCACCCCCAGGTCATCTCCAGCATCTTGAGGAGTCAGGGCCTGGGCTGGGGAGGAGCGGATACAGCCACGCTTGGTTTATTGTCAGGAAATGCGGTGGGCTCAGGGAAGGACCTCTGCAGAATGGGGCATCCCAAATGCAGACGTGGAGGCTGATGCCCATGCTTCCCCATGTCCAGCCCCCGAGGCAACCATCCTGGAGCCCCTGCAGAATGTGCAGCTCAGTGAGGGCCAGGATGCCCACTTCCAGTGCCGGCTCTCCAGGGCTTTGGGCCAGGAGGCCCGTTGGACCTTGGCCGGGGTGCCCTTGCAGGCCAACGAGATGAACGACATCACTGTGGAGGAGGGCACGCTCCACTCCCTCACCCTGCACAAGGTGGGGCTCTGGGACCTTTTCTCCTGGGTATGGAAGATCCAGCTCCACTCAGGAAGGGCCCCTGTGAGGGGCTGGGGCTGGGGAGCTGATGAGTCCCCATCATGGGGCTGGAGGATGGGTTGGCCCTTCTGGTCAGGATGCAGCCAGGAGGGCCAACCAGCTTCTCTGCCTCCTCAGGTGACCCTGGAGGATGCTGGAACCGTCACTTTTCAAGTGGGCTCTTGTAGCTCTGAAGCCCAGCTGACAGTGACAGGTGGGCAACCCCTTCCACGTCCAGCCCTTGGTAGGAGTGCCTGTTCCCTGGGCAAGCAGCATGGTACCCATGGCACCTGTGGAGGGGGGTGGAACCCAAACCTTCCCATAGCTGGCGATTTCCCACTCCCTGATTACTGCAGTGAGGGAGGGCCGCCGGGTGTGCTGCTGAAGGCCTCTTTGGGAAATTTTGTGTATGTGGGTTCCCATGGCAGGACTGCCACTGTCTGCAGGAGGGAGGTGCAGAGCCTGGCTGCAGGGGGATGTGCTGTGAGGTGGAAACAGGGCCTTCCTGACTTCTGTGACACAGGCCATCCATGTGCCTGCACATCCACCTTAATACACACTGCTCCCCCGACTGGCTCTGAGGTGTGGATTCAGCAGCATAACCCTGCAGTGTATATGGATTTGGACATGGTGCACATGACCCCAGCACAGACCCCAGCACATGACCCCAGCACGTCATCGTGCACATGACCCCAGCAGGATTTTAGGAACCTGCAACTTGGGTTGTGCTTTGCTCACAGAGCTGGTCTTGCCTGAGTGCTTGGCTTGAAGTGCCCTTCGTTTGTTCTATTCGGTTCTCAGACTGGTCCAACAGTCCACACTCATCATTCATCCATTCACGCATCCATCATCCACCCATCTATCTATCCCCCTCCCATTTGTCCCTCTTCCATATTCACATCTGGCTACCTATCCACCATCCGTTCATCTGCCGACTACCATTTGTCAGCTATCCATTGACCATCTCTACCCATTCACCACCACTCATCCATCTTCTCATCCCTCTGTGTGACGAGCAGGGAGCAGTTGGATCCAGTGTCAGGGGCCTGGAATCCTTGGGGACCTCTCGGGGTAAAGGAGCACCTGCCTCACAGCTCTTTCTATTACTCTTTTACCATCCACCCACGCATTTAGCCATCCACCCCACCCCGTCTGTCCACCTAGCACCAGTCATTCATCCATTCACCACTGAACCTTGGAACCTGTGTCCTTGACCCCTGGTCAAGTCCTAGGCCTCAAGATGGGCCTGTGTCACTTTGCCCTCGTGGAATTTCCCATCTGCTAAGGGAGCTAGACAGGGAGATAGTGGATTCTGAACCTCGTGCTCTCCTACTCTGAAACTTGAGACATGGTCAGGGTAGGCGTGGTCAGTTGTGTGACCTGTAGAAGGGGGAGGGCTGCCAAATACTGGTGCCCCTGAATTGAGGGATGCAGCTGGGCATTTAATAGGCATCTTGAGGACAGGCAGTGCAGGTGTGGATGTTCACTAGGTGAGCAATGTGAAGGTGGTCTAGCACCCTGCCCTAGGCTAGGTGTCTCCAGCCTGGGCGGGCTGGCTCAAGTGTTGTCGCCCACTGTGGTCTGGGGAGAGCCCTGGGCATGGTTGTACAAATGGACATCCAGGAAGGAATGGACACACAGGAAGGGGAGGTGGTCAGGTTGTATTTGGGGGCTGGTGTGGGGGTGTCAGCAGAGAAAAGAGTGAAGCAGCTCCTGAAGGAGGGCTTGCTAAGGGCGTGGGGGCACCCTTCCCAGCTTCATCCTGCTGGGTTCTGGTGTGTGCAAGGATCTTTTGCTTACCACATCACTCCGCACTCCCCTGGGTGGAGGCAGCTGGGCTTTGACAGCTGTGGACAGTTCTGTCTAAAAGGAGGCCCAGGTTGACATGTGCCAAGTGCTCAGAGACAAGCCCAGGGAGGGGCAGCTTCCCTGCCTGGCCAGGCAGCGTATGTGGAGGAAGCCTTGGCCTTGTCCTTCTCTGGGGTGGGGCTCGGGGCCAGCCATGTGTGCGTCAGTGGCCGAGGAATCTCTCAGCTGCTCTTCCTTCCTCTGTGGAGGCCACCTGGGTGTCTGCCTGAGAGGAGACAGGAGGGGACTGGGGGAGCAGGGGCACCTGGGAGCCCTTTGGGCATGGACCCCTCTGCGTGACGGGCAGGAGCAGTTGGATCCAGTGTCAGGGCCCTGGAATCCTCAGGGACCTCTGGACACAATGCCTGGGGTGTGAACGGGCACCTGCTTCCACAGCCCAGGGATGGAAGGCTCACTTCCTGGGGGGCTCCCCTCTGGGAGCAGCAGCCCTGGGGCTGCTCCCCACATCCTTGTCAGAGGGGTGCCCGAGCCATAAGGAACTCATCCACGCGGCCTTGCCTCGTGCAGGTTGTGGGGCTGCATGCTGGGGCTGAGCCATTCCTTGTGGGCTCATGTTGGGGGGCATCTGTGACATCCGCTAACGTCAGGGCGGCCCAGCTGGCTGGGTGGGTTTCCAGACCCCAGTGCGGGTCGTCCTCCTGGGCTCCGTGGTGCCAGGTCCAGAGTAGGTCTCAGGACTATCCTAGCTTGTCCTGCTCTGACACGCCAGGCAGACAGCACACACAGGCCTCCTGCTCCCCAGGACTACAGTGTGCTAATTGTGTTCTCACAACATGATGTCTGAGTAGAATGCTGGACGTGTATGGCTTTGTTCTGCAGCAGATACGATGTGGGTGCCCTAAAGTTCTGTTCTGATATTGTCTATCCAAAGGTAGCACAGGCCCTGCAGTGTGAGGCCCCAGTCCCATAAGACTGCCCTCTTCAGGTGCCAAGCGCAAGTCTCAGGTTACACCAGCACAGCTGTGCGGCTGTCCTCAGTTTGCCGGACAGCTCACCGTCAGTTTGTTGCAGAGGGTCCACTGAGGAATGGGAGGGATGCAGAGGTCATGAGTAGAGAGGCAGGGTGCACGGAGGCCCAAACCCTCCAAGTGCAATGGTGGGACACTCCACAGGTCTTGTTGGAGAGTCTGTTTACAGAGTTTTATCTTCAGCTGTTTCATGTCCCAGAGGCCAGACTTGGTCTTCCTGGTGACAGCTACATCCTGAAGCTGTCTAGGGCCTCTCCTGAGTTATCTCATTAGCATAAATCGGGTCCCTCAAGACATTTCTGTCTCAGGAATCTGAGGAACAAAGACCAAATCCGTGCTGCACCACACTCCACCACTGAACCAGTGACCCCACCTAGAAGGCCCCAGGGCACCCCAGCCAGCCTCCTTCTCGCCCTCTTGTGCAGAGGCAGCACTGTGCCTGGTTCGAGGCTTGCAGAATGTGGATGTCTTCGCAGGGGAGGTGGCCCTGTTCTCCTGTGAGGTGTCTCGTGCAGGGGGGCCACAGGCCCGCTGGTGGCTGGATGGCACCCTGCTACAGAACAGCCCCCAGAGCACCATTGCTGTATGCGATGGGACCATCCACTCGCTCACGCTCTCAGGCCTGGGGGTGGCCGACTCGGGCACCGTTACCTTCCGCACTGGGCCCTTGGTGTCCACAGCCAAGCTGTTGGTCAAAGGTATTAGCCAGCGGGGACCCCTCAGCTGGTGCTTCTGCCTCCGCTGTCCGCATGCTTCCTGCGGGCTCCTGGGGAGCGGGAGGGCCTGTGTGTGCCATTTGCCCAGGGCAAGTCCTGTCTCACTCCCAGCCCAGGGCAAAGTCCTGCCGGCTGCTGGTCCTATGCCCCTGCTGTGCAGGTTGGTGCACTGCTCTGTTTGCCCACCATCTTGCTGGTTGCAGCTCCCCAGCTGGAAGGCCAGGCCTGAGGAGTCCTTCCTGGGCTCTGGAAGGAGAGGCCCCCGCCCTGGCTCTGCTCACATCTGTCCCCACTATTGGCTCCCCTGGGGTCTCCGTGCCCATCTGAGTTAGAGCTGGTTGGGTAGGGAAGGCAAAGTTTGCCCTGGTGCTTCTGTAGAAAATGAAGGGTTGTCCAAGACCCCAAGGTCAAGGCTACATTGAGCAGAATTTCAGTCGCTAGGGTTGGGAGGGGTCCAGGGGGCTGACAAGATTGATGGAGGGGCTGAGGTGGTGAGCCAGAGCCTGTGGGCACAAGGAAGAGAGCTCGAGCAAGAGGTGCTTCCAGCAAGGCCCGATGGCACAGGCAGATGGCCGTCTGCACCTGGGGCTGTCTGTGCAGGGCTCTGGGTAGCCGCAGTGGGTCCCTGCCGCTAGCACAGACAGGCAGCCATCGTCATGCCATCACCTATCCACACTGCATGCTTGCCACTGCCAAAGCCGCTAACCTGGATGGCGCAGGGGAAGGGCTGCGCGGTGCTGTCTGGAGCGCTGACGGTGCCCGGCATGTTGGCCGACAGATCCCACGGTGGAGGTGGTCAGTGCCATGCAGGACCTGGTGGTGGAGGAGGGCAGCTCAGCTGAGCTCCTCTGCCAGTACTCACGGCCCGTGCAGGCCACGTGGAAGATGGACGAGCGGGAGGTGTGTGCAGATGGGCAGCGTGTCGTCATAGAGCAGGACTGGACCGTGGCCAGGCTCACCTTCAGGCCGGCCCTGCCCTGTGACAGCGGCATCTATTCTTGTGAGGCCGCAGGCACCCGCGTGGTGGCACTGCTGCAAGTGCAAGGTGAGGTGCCTGGCAGGCAGCTGCAGCTGGCAGGGCGTGGAGGGGCAGGTGGTGACAGCCAGCTCTCGAGGCAGGTGACGCGAGTGGGCAGGGACAGCCCTGGGAGTTGGCGCACCCGCCCCACTGGGCGCAAGCAGAGCTGGGTGGGGGTGCCCGCCACTGAGAGTGACTTCCATGGCAAGTGAGCAGCAAGGAGGGAGATGGCTGTGAACTGGGCTGGTGTCTGGCGTGAGTGGGCAAGGAGAGGCACCTCAGGCCTGAGTGCTGTTCGGGGTGCATCGGCCCTGGTGCACAGAGAGCCACCGAGGAGGGTGGGCTCAGCCTGGCGCTAGGATCGAGCTGGGTGGGCTGTGCTTCGTCTGTCTCTGGGGCGCCAGGGAGGTGGGGACATCCCAACAGGCCAGGCGCCCTGTGCCACGAGAGGTGCTCCCTGGGCGGCACCCTGCTTGGCTCCGTGTCCTTTGGGGGCCTCTTCCAGGGCCCCTGAGCTGCCGTCCTTCCCCGCAGCCAAGAACATGGTGGTCCGAGGCCTGGAGAATGTGGATGCGCTTGAGGGGGGTGAGGCACTGTTCGAATGCCAGCTGTTGCAGCCAGAGGTGGCGGCACACACGTGGCTACTGGATGACCAGCCGGTGCGGACATCAGAGAATGCTGAAGTGGTTTACTTCGAGGGCGGCCTGCGCCACCTGCTGCTGCTCAAGAACCTGCGGCCTCAGGATAGCTGCCAGGTCACCTTCCTGGCTGGGGATGTGGTCACCTCCGCCTTCCTCACCGTCAGAGGTGATGTGGGGCAGAAGGGTGGTGGGGGAGGGTGGCCTCTGAGACTCTGAGACTGGAGGAGGGAGCAGTGGGTGGGGCCGTGGTGGAGGCCCAGGTTACCTGCAGGGCAGGATCTCGAAGACCCTGTCCTCAGGGGCTCTGCCTGGCCTGGGGCATCATCAGACTCTGAAATTCCCTCTGGCTGGCTGGACCCAGGGCACCCAGGGCTGGGAGGGGGATGGGACATGGGGCTTGAGCCCGCTCCCAGCTCAGGCTCTTCGGGCTCTAGGCAGGGGCACTGTCCCAGACTGGGCAGCCAGCAGCCCTGCCCCCTGGAGGCTGCTTGAGAGAGTGGGGCCGTGTGAGCTGGGTTCCCACGCTCACCCCCACTCCACCCATAGGCTGGCGCCTGGAGGTCCTTGAGCCCCTGCGTGACGTGGTAGTGCAGGCCGGTGGACAGGCCCGGTTCTCCTGCACGGTCAGTGAGGCGGTGCCCGTGGGCGAAGCCACCTGGTACCTCAACGGGATGGCCGTGCTCTCAGACGACTCGGATTGGACAGTGACTTCCGACGGCAGCCACCATGCTCTGCTGCTGCACCGCGCCCGTCCGTGCCATGCTGGCGAGGTCACCTTTGCTGCTCGCGATGCAGTCGCCTCAGCATGGCTCTCTGTGCTGGGTGGGTCAGGGCGAGGCCTCAGGAAGGGGGCGCTGGGGCCTGCGTGGACCTACCTGGCACCACGGGAAGCTCCTCTTGCAGGTGTGGGGTCCTGAGCAGGGACGGGCAGGAGGAGTGAGGATTTTCCATCCAAGGTGCGCTGGGGCTCTTGGTGGCCCCATCCCAGTGGGCTTGGCCACGGTCTCACTGTGCTGTGTCCCTTGCTGTCCACACACACAGAGCTCAGGGCCGACCCGTGTCCATCCCTGGTGGCTGCTGAGGGCTGCAGGCCCTGTGGGTGCACTGACCTGCTCCTCTCCACAGGACTCCCGGACCCCCCGGAGGATGCTGAGGTTGTGGCACGCAGCAGCTATGCAGTGACACTGTCCTGGGCAGCCCCCATGAGCGACGGTGGTGGGGGTCTTCGTGGCTACCGGGTGGAGATGAAGGAGGGGTCCACGGGCCAGTGGCGGTTGTGCCATGAGCTGGTGCCAGGGCCTGAGTGTGTAGTGGATGGCTTGGCCCCTGGGGAAACCTACCGATTCCGTGTGGCAGCCGTGGGCCCGGCTGGTGCAGGGGAGCCCGTGCATCTGCCCCAGATGGTCCGGCTGGGTGAGTGGCCCATCTGCCCTGGCAGTGGGGTGGACCTGGGTGTGTGGTTTGACTCTACAGTGTGGCTTAGCTGATGGGCTTGTCCTCTCTTGTCTTTTGTCCACATACTGTCCCCACAGAGCCTGCTGAGCCTGGGCCTGCAGAGCCCAAGCCTCCTGTGCCCACGGCCCTGGAGACCCGGCAGGTGGCAGCTGGTGAGGACGTCTGTTTGGAGCTGGAGGTGGTGGCTGAGGCTGGGGAGGTCATGTGGCACAAGGGGACAGAGCGCATCCAGCCCAGCGGGCACTTTGAGGTCATCTCTCGTGGCCAGCGACAGATGCTGGTGATCAAGGACTTCAAGGCCGAAGACCAGGGCGAGTACCGCTGTGGCCCTGCGCAGGACCCAGACACCCCGGCGGCCACCTTCCAGGGTGTGTCCTGGGCTTGGGATGTGGGGAAGGACCGGGGGTCTGTGAGATACCCCGTGTGACATGGGGGAGACCCCGCCAGCTGTCTGTGTCTCCGTGGTGGCAGCCTGGGTGTCCCTGTCCTTTCCATCCTGCCCTCAATCCCTGCATGGCCTTCCAAGAGTGCTGGTGCTCCCCACACAGCAGCCCAGCTTGTGAGCCTGCCCTGGGTGCTGAGTCTGTCATTCCATCTACTCACCATGCCCCGCCTTGAGGCACTTGAGCTCTCTGAGCCCACTCCTTGCTCCTAGGCCCCCTTCCCTAGTCTGAGCGGCCCTCCCTCACCAAGTCTGTCCATACACTGGCTGTGGCATCTGTCTCCTCCCTGGGTGGTGGTGGACTAAGTCCTCTGTGCATCTCTGCCTTTCAGCAGCAGAGCGAGGGAGGGCTGACATAAGGCCTGCTGGACTTGATGGATCTGTCTCCTCTGATCACTATGTGCCCGTGCAGGAGACAGACAAGCTGGCTGGGAGTTCTGTGAGGGCTGGGATACAGAGCTTCCAAGACCCTGCAGAAGTACCTGCCAGGTGTAAGCAGGTGTCTGTGGAGGCCACAGCCCAGGGCCTGTGCTGGTCAGTAGCAAAGGTGGGTCTGGGTCATGTCCATCCTGGCCTAATGACTGGTCTCCCGCTTTCCTCAGTGGTGCTGAGCCCTGGCTCTGGGGATGAGGCCCCCATGCAGCCCAGCCTGCCTCCAGAAGCAGCCCAGGAGGGAGACCTGCACCTGCTCTGGGAAGCACTGGCCCGGAAGCGCCGCATGAGCCGTGAGCCCACACTGGACTCCATCAGCGAGCTGCCTGAAGAGGACAGTCGCGTGCAGCGCCTGCGGCAGGAGGCAGAGGAGGTGGCACCTGACCTCTCCGAGGACTACTCTACGGCAGACGAGCTGGCTCGCACTGGAGAGGCTGACCTCTCACACACCAGCTCAGATGATGAGTCGCGGGCAGGGACCCCTTCTCTGGTGACCTACCTCAAGAAGGCTGGCAAGCCTGGGGCCTCACCCCTGGCCAGTAAGGTGAGCCTATCCATGCAGCCATCTTCCTTTCTGCTGTCCATCAGTCCACCTGCCCCTCACCCATCCACTCTTCTGTCCACGGTCTGCCACTGTCTTTCATCTGTCCAGTTAGCCTGTCCATCCCTCTTCCTGCCATCCATCATCCACCCCCCCACCCATGATCTACTCACCTGTCCGTTGTCACGTTGTCCGTTTCCTCACCTGCCATCTGTCACCGCTGTGTCTACTGCCTGTTTTACCGCGTATGCATCAGTGTGTGTGTTGGCCTGTGCCCTACATCCACCTACTATGTCTCTACCCCTTCTGTCCCTGTTTTCTAGTTCATCTATGTATCTGTTCCTCTGTTTACCCACTCATTCATCTGTATGAGCATTCATCCACTCTGGCCCCCGCGCATCCACGCTTCCTCCTTCCCTTTCATCATTTTATCTTCGTCCATCTGTACATCTACTCACGCATCCCTTCATCCGTTTTCCACCACTCTCCATCTGCTCGCTCACCAGTCCATGTACCCGCACATTTTCCCTCTGCCCACTCAGTTGCCCCTCCACCTGCTGAGCCTCCCTCCATTCACCTGTCCATCTCTGTACTTCCGTCCACACATCCACTTATCCCCTCAACTGCTGTTGAAGCTCTGTGAAGAGCTGGGACTGGCTCCTCTTCCCCATAGCCATGCTAGGAGGGGCCAGGGGTGCCTGGTTTTCAGTGATGCTCGTGTGGCTGCCAGTGGGTGGAGACAGAACAGACTGCTGTGTCCTGACCCTGCGTGCCCGCCGTTTCCCTGCCCTACTGAGACGCTGCGTTCTGTGCCCCTAGATTGGGGCCCCAGCCACCCCCTCTGTGAAGCCCCAGAAACAGCAGGAGCAGCCCACCAGCGCGCACTCACCTCCGGGAGACTCAAGCGCTGAGGATCTCAGTGACCCCTCTCTGGATAAGGCAGCTGTGAAGATCCAGGCTGCCTTCAAGGGCTACAAGGTCCGTAAGGAGATGAAGCAGCAGGAAGGGCCTGTTTTCTCCCGCACCTTTGGGGACATGAAGGCGCAGGTGGGTGATGTCCTGCGGCTGGAGTGTGTGGTGGCTAGCAAGGCCGATGTGCAGGCCTGCTGGCTGAAGGATGGCGTGGAGCTGACAGACGGACGACACCACCACATCGACCAGCTGGGGGACGGCACCTGCTCTCTGCTGGTCACTGGCCTGGGGCACAAGGATGCTGGCCGCTACACGTGTCAGGTGAGCAGCAGGTTCGGCCAAGCGAGCCATAGCGCCTGTGTGGTGGTCAGCGGCACGGAGAGTGAGGCTGAGAGCTCCTCAGGGACTGAGCTGGACGAAGCCTTTCGCCGGGCTGCGCGGCGCCTGCACCGGCTCTTCCGCACCAAGGGCCCGGCCGAGGTCTCAGACGAGGAGCTCTTCCTCAGTGCGGACGAGGGCCCCGCAGAGCCCGAGGAGCCTGCTGACGATGGGCAGACTTATCATGAGGATGAGCACTTCATCTGCATCCGCTTCAAAGCACTCGAAGAGGCCCGCCGGGCTGCCACCTGCTTTCGGGACATGTTCGCCACCATGGGCGTCAAGGTGGACATCAGCCTCACAGAGCAGGGCCCCCGGGTGGTGGAAATGCGCATTGGCAAGGTGGGGCCTGTCCCTGCCATGCCGCTGGAGCCAGCGCCCGGCCTGCTGCCCTCTGATGCTGGTGAGTGGCCAGCAGCCTTGATGGTGCCAGGACTGAGGTGGGGAGGAGGGGAGGTTGGCAGTGCCTGGAAGTGGATGGCCGCTGCCGTCAGTCCGAGAGCACCGCCAGGCGGAAGCACTGTGCACTGGCTGTGGGGTGCTTCAGCCTCTCTGAGCCTCAGGTTCCTCTCTCTTGTGATGAGAAGGTGAACAATTTGCTTCCTGGAGGTTTGTTTCCCCTAACAATACTTTGGGGTATGGAGGGTTCCTTGTGGTCCACCCTGCCCACCACTCCCCAGTCAAGCATAACTGTCTCAGCATTCACTCACACACCTCTGGGACATTAGCAGGTTCTAAGTGATGACTCTAAGCTTCCTGATACCTGGAAGCGTCTCTTGGATTTTGAGCACTTCCACGCTTGAGTCGTCTCAGCTCACACAGCCGTCACCTGTCCAGCCGGTCCCACTCTTCCATCCCTCTTGCCTCTGGTAGTGGAAGCCTGGGGTCCAAGAGGGAGCTCTTGGGAAGGAGGAGGGAGAAGTCAGCAGGCAACCTCAGCCCCTTTAGCCTGCAGATGTGTCCGAGAGAACGCTGTGCGTCGTGTGCGTGTCTGGGTGAGGTGTTGGCCAGAGCGGCCGGGGTGATCACCCACCCAGGGTGACTCGGGTTTCCTTCTGCTGGCCACAGCCCCTGTGTTCCTGACGGAGCTACAGAACCAAGAGGTGCAGGATGGGTACCCCGTGAGCTTCGACTGCGTGGTGACAGGCCAGCCCCTGCCCAGTGTGCGCTGGTTCAAGGACGGGAAGTTGCTGGAGGAGGATGACCACTACATGATCAATGAGGACCAGCAGGGTGGCCATCAGCTCATCATCACCGCTGTGGTGCCCGCAGACATGGGGGTCTACCGCTGCCTCGCTGAGAACAGTATGGGCGTCTCCTCCACCAAGGCTGAGCTCCGCGTGGAGCGTGAGTGCTGCCCGGGCAGGTGGTCAGGGTGCAGGTGTTGGGCCGGGCACGGTCAGGGCCCCACCTCTCCAGTGGAGATTTCCCAGGAGCCGAGACCGAGCACTCTCTAGGGCTATGGGGGTAGGGGCCAGAGAGCTCACTTTTCATTACAGGTGTTTGGTAATTTGATTGCAGTATTCTTTGATGTATTATAATATCATGTTTCTCATCCTTGAAGTTCATGGAGCTTCTTGGAACTCTGAATTTATAGTTTTCCTTAAGTTTGCATTTTCTAGTTTTATTTTATTGTGATACTAGAGATTGAACCCGGAGCATGCTAACAAGTGCTCTACTACCTAGCACTGAGCCACACACCCAGCCTTCTTTTTTATCTTAAGGTAGGGTCTTACTTTGCAATCTGGGCTGGTCTGATTTCTCTCGCCTCAGCCTCTGAGTGCTGGGATTTCAGGCAAGCACCACCATGCCTACTTGTTCTTTAAGAGTGGAAACGCTGGTCTTGAGTCTTCACTTCAGGACCACACCCCTCCCAAAGGCCCCCTCATGACAAACCCGAGGGTTAATATTTTAAGGTCCGTCTGTGGAGGACACAAAGGCTCCGTCCGTCACAGTGGTGCATCCAGGCCCTCTTATGCACTTGGCCTGAGACCCAAGGTCTCAGCTGTCTCTCCAGCCCTCTTGGCCTGGTAGGATGGAGCAGGAAGGTTCCCCCACTGTCACTGCTCGACACTTAGGAGGCCTCTGGGATAGTGACAGTCTGATGAGAGGGGTTGGTGGTGAGCCGTGGACTGGGACCCGCCCCAGGACAACCACAGGTGGCTGTCCCCTCAGACACTGGGCTCAGGGGCTCCCATCCCAGCTGTATCCTCGGCCCCCTCCAGCTCTCCCTTCCTCCCCAGTGACCAGCACAGACTACGACACTGCGGCCGATGCCACGGAGACCTCGTCCTACTTTAGCGCCCAAGGATACCTGTCCAGGTGGGGCTGTGTGGGGACTGGGGACACCTGGCTGGGTGGCAGTCATGCAGACGGTGGGCCCGGTGACGGATGTCCAGGGCCTGTGGTGCCCAGCCGACAGGGTGTGGGCTGATCTGGCAGATCCTGGAGACTCCCGTCGGGCCTGGTGGCCTCTGTCCCTCTGCTCTAAGCCGCAGACTCCACCCATCTCTGACCTCTACCTGTGCGGCCCTCCTGGCTCTCTTCCCGGTCCACTCAGTGGCTGTCCCTGCGTTTGTCCTTCCACCAGCCGGGAGCAGGAGGGCACGGAGTCAGATGAGGGGCAGCTGCCTCAGGTGGTGGAGGAACTGAAGGACCTGCGGGTGGCCCCAGGCACGCGCCTGGCTAAGTTCCAGCTCAGGGTGAAAGGTGAGGACCAGGGCATGGGCTGCTAGCTGGGGGTGGGCAGTGGGCTCAGGTGGGTGTGGAGGACAAAAGGAGACAGTCACATGGTGGTTTCAGGGCTGTCTCCTCTGGAAGCCTGGTGCCCATGGGGAGGTGGCCCTGTGCTGACTGCTGCCCTCTGCACCCCAGGCTACCCGGCCCCCAGGCTGTACTGGTTTAAGGATGGCCAACCCCTGACCGCGTCTGCCCATATCCGCATGACCGACAAGAAGAGCTTGCACACCCTGGAGATTGTCATGGTCACCCGGGAGGATGCTGGCCAGTACTCAGCCTATATCAGCAATGCTGTGGGTGCTGCCTACTCATGCGCCCGACTGATGGTCAGAGGTGGGTGCCCCAGGGCCCAGGCAGAGCTGCAGCCCTCCGACAGCATCTCCCTTGGGCAGCATCACTGTGGCTGGAGTGGGCAGGTGTCTGGGAGAGGGGTAGGCCCCCCTGTGGAACCACACAGAGCAAGGACTTTGGCAAAGAAAGGTCTACATTTTCCCCTTGTCACTGGAAGTTAGTTCCAAGTGTGACCTAGGTCTGCCCTGCCTCACAGGTATGGCCCTCAGCTGCCACATGCACGATTGTCCACGAGATAGTTCCAGCTGAGGTCCCAGTCCCCAGTGGTGTGAGTGGGTGGCAGCTGCCTGTCCTGGCCTGCTGGCTGATGTCCCAGCAAGGGCTCCGGAGCCTCTGCCCATGGGCTGGGCCCGCCTTGGGTGCCCTGTGTCGGGCAGCATGGCTGGACCCCTCCAGTGCCTCCTGTGGCCAAGCGGGGGCAGTGCTGCCGACATCTGACTCCTGCATCTTCCAGGTCCCGAGGAGCCTGAGGAGAAACTGGCTTCAGGTAAGTGGCCCTCATAGGCAGGCTTAGATGCTGTCCTGGGCCTGGGCTGGAAGAGGGGCCCAGGGTGCAGGCCACAGGCATGGGGGGGGTGGTTCTTGAGGTGCTCACTAGTGAGTGACTTACACCTTTCAGATGTGCATGAGCAGCTGGTGCCACCCCGGATCCTTGAGAAATTCACCCCCAAGAAGGTGAAGCAGGGCTCCAGCATCACGTTTTCTGTGAAGGTAGAAGGTAGGCGATTCTTGGGGTGGTGCCCCTCTGCCTCCCCCCAGAGGGTCGGGGATAGCACCCCATAGAGACCTTGGTCCCTACAGGCCTGGCATCAGGCACTGGACCTGTCTTCTAGAGGAGGGAGTTTGGGCCCACCTTGGGATCTGGGCTATCTCTGGGGTCAGGTGGGTCCTGCCCCGGATGGTGCTATGTCCCTGGGAGGCCAGCCCCTGGGCCACTCCCATGGGGTACCCGCTTCCCTCCCAGGACACCCGGTCCCTGCTGTGCACTGGCTCCGAGAAGAGATGGAGAGGGGTGTGCTGTGGATTAGCCCCAACACACCGGGCTATACAGTGGCCAGCTCAGGGCAGCAGCACAGCCTGGTCCTGCTGGATGTGGGCCCACAGCATCAAGGCACCTACACCTGCATTGCGTCCAGTGCTGCCGGCCAGGCCCTGTGCTCTGCCAGCCTGCACGTCTCCGGCCGTGAGTTGGGTGGGTGGTGGGGTAAGGGTGGCTTCAGCACCACTGGGGTGTGGTCTTTCTCCCTGTTGGTCTGGGACCCATCCAGGCCTCAGAAACAGATCAGCCTGCAGCACAGCAGGTTTGGGGTACACCTCAGCTCCCCAGTCCATCCCCAGCTCTTGTTGCAGCAGGGTGGCCACAGGTGGGGGCAGGGCAGGGTGGCCCAGGCTTGGGTCAGGGGCCTTGCCTGAAGGTCTGCTCTTCTGACAGTGCCCCGGAAGGAGGAGCCAGAGAAGGCCAAGGCAGCCCTCATCTCCTCTTTCTTGCAGGGGTGAGTGCAGGCTGCAGAGCCTAGGACGAGGACAGGAGCGCCCTTTCCCAAGCACGGGTTCTGTGCCTCAGTTTCCACACTGTAATGGGAGGGCTTCTGGGGCTCGCTGGCGTAGAGACCACACAGTTGCATCCTAGCCTGTTGCCCCAAGCATTCTCTTTGGGCCGTGATGCAGCCCAGTCTCTCAGGATGCCCCTTCCCCACAGGACTGCTCAGGCCATCTGCGCACAGGTGTCGGAGTCTGTGGGTGTCGCCAGCCAGGCTGGGCAGAGGAAAGGTACGCGGTGGGTGAGCACGCAAGCCCTGTGCTGGAGGGGGTGTCTGGAGCCTCTTGGACTGGCTAGCTGTGGGCTTTGGGCCGGGGCCCACCTTCTCAGGGATGTGTTCAAGCCTTGGTTGGGGTCAGAGCTGTTTCTGACCCCTGTGCGCCTGGGCTAGGTCAGGTCCCGCAGTCTTGTGGACACCTGGGCACCAGGTCCAAGGGGTGGACCTGATGGTGGGTTTGACCCTCTCCCAGCTCTGTCCTCCGATCCCTTGCCCTCCACCCTGCACCCACTGTCTCTTGATGGTACCTGCTGTCCCTGGTCACCCACTGTCCCTCTGTCCAGCCCTGCTTCCTCCTGCCCTCCTCCCTGTTGGCGACAGCTCAGCTCAGATGCCCACGCGCCAGTGTGGCTTTGGTCCTGTGCAGCTGAGCGTCACTCCTGTATGCCAACCACCCGCCCCTGCTCACCGTTGGCCCCCAGCTGAGGCTGGCCTGCAAGTGCTTGGGTAATTGTGTGTTCCCTAAGGGGAGGCCCTGGTGGCTGAGGAAGCACGCGGCCACCTGTCCCTTGCTGAGGTGGGCACAGAGGAGTTCCTGCAGAAACTTACCTCCCAGATCACTGAGATGGTATCTGCCAAGATCACGCAGGGTAAGACCAGCGTCTGCAGCATGGGGACTGTGGACCCTTGTTTCCATCCTGGCCCCTGGAGTCTGAGTGGACAGGAGGCAATTGGGGACAGCTTTTCTAGGGCATCATGACTCTGGTTCCTGTTTCCCCCAGCCAAGCTGCAGGTGCCTGGAGGTGACAGTGATGAGGAGTCCAGGACGCCATCTGCGTCACCCCGGCACGGCCGGTCACGGCCTTCGTCCAGTGTGCAGGAGTCCTCCTCAGAGTCGGAGGATGGGGACTCCCGCGGTGAGGTGAGTGAGCAAGCCTGAGGAGGGGCTGGGAGGAACTGGCCCTCCTGAGCAGTGGGGGCTGAGCTGGGTCCTCACATGCCAGGGTCCTGCAGATTGGCTTCCTGGCAGAACCTCCGTTCACACACTTGGGCAGGTCTTGTGCCTGCAGCATCGTTAGGTCTCTGGGTGGCTGGTGACATGTGGACGTACGAAGTGTGGTGGCCTCTGCTGGGCCCCTAGTCCTGGTGTCCATTGTGGGTGGCAGCCCTGAGGTCGCCATCACCTGGGCCCCAAAGTCTGGGAATGGCAGGCCTGGAGTTCCCTTCCCTGAGATCCTTGAGGGCAGCTGGGGCCTTGGTGGCCTGTGTCCCTCTTCTGCCCTGCTCAGCGTATTGCCCTCCCTGTCAGATCTTTGACATCTATGTGGTCACTGCCAACTACCTCCCCCTGGGGGCTGAGCAGGATGCCATCGCACTTCGGGAGGGGCAGTATGTGGAGGTGCTGGACGCGGCCCACCCGCTGCGCTGGCTCGTGCGCACCAAGCCCACCAAGTCCAGCCCATCTCGGCAGGGCTGGGTGTCGCCCGCCTACCTGGACAAGAGGCTCAAGGTACGAGTGCCAGGCAAGGCGGTGGGTGGTCATTGCCCATGTCTTCATGTGGGGCTGCAGCTGATCTCTGCCTGCCCCTCACAGCTGTCACCAGAGTGGGGTCCCCCCGAGGCCCCTGAGTTCCCCGGGGAGGCCATGTCTGAAGACGAGTACAAGTCGAAACTCAGGTGAGTGTGCAGAGCAAGGGCAGACCTGGCTCCATAGCTGGACTATCCTGGTTCTGGGCTGGGGGTTCCACATGCTTCTTTCTGGGGGCTGCGTGTGCTGGGGTCACTCCCGGGGTAGGTACAGATCGAGGACAGAGGGTGGCCCACTGCCTTGGCCCCATGACCTCCTGCTGGTGGGGATGCCGTGTGGAGGAGGGGGTGCCTCTGTACCCTTCCCCCTGCTTGGATAGGCAGCGGCAGCTGCAGCTGCAGTGGCAGGAGGCCCTGCCCCCCTGAGTAGCACAAGGAGCTGAGGCCCCAGGGAAGCTGATGCGGGCACAGCCACGTAGCCCGAGTCCCCTCACGGGTGGCTTCCCCACAGTACTGTCATCCGGGAGCTGCTCAGCTCGGAGCAGGAGTTTGTGGGTGAGTTGCACTTCCTCCAGAGCCATCATATGCAGCACCTGGAATGCTGTCCCCACGTGCCCACGGCCGTGGCCAGCCAGAAGGAGGTCATCTTCCGCAACGTACGGGACATCGGCCGCTTCCACAGCAGGTGGGCCTGCAGGCTGGGGGCCAGGCAGAGCTGGGCGGGGCTTGCTGCCTGACCCAGTTTACTCTCAGGTTGTGTGCTCACCGGCTGCCACACAGGAAGACCTGCCACACAACCTCACATACATGTACACACGCACACATTGGCATCTGTGAACACACGCACCCCTCACCCACCATGTGCACACCCTTACATGCATGTCTGTGTGCCTAGGACACACATGTGTACATGTGCACAGTATACATGTGCACACACATGCCTTGCATCCACACCCATGCACAAGCCTCCACATACCTGCACTCTTGCACATTCATGCAAGGCATGCAGGTATGCAGTGCACATCCATGTGCACATACACGTATATCCTCTGTACAGACATTGCGATGCGCAAGTAAGCACACATGAACGTAACACACTGTGTTGGCATAGACATGCTGCAGCATACGCATGCATGTGTGCACACATGGGCACGTAGTACATGTGTGCACGTGTGTGGGAACCTTGCACACACATGTGTTCTTTGTGGCAGCTTCCTGAAGGAGCTGCAGCGCTGCGACACGGATGATGATGTGGCCATGTGCTTCATCAAGAACCAGGAGGCCTTTGAGAAGTACTTGCAGTTTCTGGTGGGCCGTGTGCAGGCTGAGGCTGTGGTTGTCAGCACTCCGGTGCAGGAGTTCTACAAGGTGCCCTGTCTGCTGCTCCCTGAGCCCAGTGTCCTGGTCCTGACAGGGTGGGAGCTGTGTCACCCTGGCCATCCTGAGGCTCGGAGTGACCCAGCCAAGGGCGCGAGTGTTCCCATCTGACCACCCCATTCCCTGCAGAAGTATGTGGAGGAAACGCTGCCCGCCAGGGACCCCTCGCAGCCCCCGCCGCTCCCACTGCAGCACTACCTGGAGCAGCCAGTGGAGCGTGTGCAGCGCTACCAGGCTGTGCTGAAGGTGGGGCCTGGGAGCCAGCTGTGTGGGCCTGGAGAGTGGGCTGGGTCTCCTCCAGACCTGACTCCGCCCCTCGGCCCTCAGGAGCTGATTCGAAACAAGGCCCGCAACCGGCAGAACTGTGCGCTACTGGAGCAGGCCTACGCCGTGGTGTCCGCCCTGCCACAGCGAGCAGAGAACAAACTGCATGTGTCTCTTATGGAGAACTACCCTGGTACCCTGGAGGCCCTCGGGGAGCCCATTCGCCAGGTGTGCCACAGCCGTGGGGGGCGGGCTCGAGCTGGGCACCTGGGGGCTGGGTGTGCAGACTGACCAACTACCTGCTGCTCAGGGCCACTTCATCGTGTGGGAAGGAGCGCCGGGAGCCCGGATGCCCTGGAAGGGCCACAACCGCCACGTCTTCCTCTTCCGCCACCACCTGGTGATCTGCAAGCCCCGGCGGGACTCGCGCACCGACACCTTCAGCTACGTGTTCCGCACCATGATGAAGGTCTGCAGCTGTGGGCTGGGGCCCTGTGGGGTGGGTGTCTATACTCGGCTTCCCAAGCTCTCATCCTGCTGACACCTGCACCTACCCACAGCTGAGCAACATCGACCTGAACGACCAGGTGGAGGGGGACGACCGTGCCTTCGAGGTGTGGCACGAGCGGGAGGACTCTGTGCGCAAGTACCTGCTGCAGGCGCGGACAGCTGTCATCAAGAGCTCCTGGGTGAAGGAGATCTGCGGCATCCAGCAGCGCCTGGCTCTGCCTGTGTGGAGTGAGTGTTATGGGGGTCGAGCTGGGCTTGGGGTGCTTGGGCAGCCAAGCCTCGGCCCTTCGCCATGGCTAGGAGAGTTTCCTAGAAGGTCTGCGCTGGGAGGGGGCCCTTGGTGGTCGTGGTGTCCCAGGAGCTCTGAACACGTTTGGCTGGACCTGACCCACATGGGCTGACTCTCCAGGCACGGGGGCATGTGGACCTCAGCTTGGGGCATTCCTGGACCCCTGTCAGGTGGGAGGGGTCTACAGCTGGGTCTCCTGCCTGGCCAGCATGGCATCTCCTCCTACACAGCTCCTCCCATGTCCCATACCACCCCTACCTTGGCTGGGTTGGGACATTGGATGGTAGCCACACCTGCAGATTTGGGGCAGCTGGCAGGGGGAGGGGTAGCCTACCAGGGTGGACCTGAAAGGACCACATACCTCGCCTCCCTCACGGAGTGATCAGCACCCCTGTGTCCATGCAGGTGCCCCGGAGTTTGAAGAGGAGCTGGCTGACTGCACGGCTGAGCTGGGAGAGACAGTGAAGCTGGCCTGCCGCGTGACGGGCACCCCAAAGCCGGTGGTCAGCTGGTACAAAGGTGCAGCCTGGGGCCAGGGTCCCTAGCCTCCTTGCCTAGGTGTTGGCCTGCAACAGGCAGAGCCACCTGGGAAGAGGTGGCTGCAAAGGCCCAGGCTGGGTGTGGGGTCAGCAGGGCTGGGCCATGAGGGACCTGGATGGGCCAGGCCTGGCCAGCAGCTAGCTGTTTGGGAACAGGTGATGTGCAGAGAAGCTTGTGACGTGACGTTACAGGGGGAGCAGACAGGGAGAGCAACAGCCAGGACGGCCTCCAGCACTGTGTCCGAGAGCACCAGTGAGCAGCGAGCCACTGTGACGCTGAGGCAGGGTGATTTCATACTTACGCGGGGGGTGCCGGCAGTGTTGCTTCCCCTCTCTCTGGAAGGGCTCATGTACCTCGCAGTCAGGGTTACTGTAGCAGAGGACCTGGATGAAGGCCACCATGCAGGGCCAAGGTGTCACCCCGTGAGCCTTCAGTTCACCTTGTGTGGTGGAGTTGCCTGGTGGCACCGTTCCGTGGCACTGTGGCAGCACATGCGGTGTCGCCAGCCAGGGGAGCCCCCCGAGCCTTAGACAGGGTCCAGAGGGCTTGGCACTGAAGCCCTGTGGTGTCCTGGCCAGCAGAGGGACAGCTACGGATGGCTTCAGTTGCCTGTCACTGTGGCTGTGATGAAGGAGAGGCTGAGGACACGGAGAAGAGCGGGGATCTCACCACCTGGGCCCAGGGGCTGCCCTGTGTCCTGGGTGCATTTGGAAGGTGCTCCACACACAGGGCTGCCCTGGAGGGTTGGGGAGTTCAGGTCCAGGAGGAAACACAGGGACTGGCCTGCTGTGGTTGCTCCACTGACAGAGGTGGGAGGACCCAGGGGAGCAGACAGCAGGGCTGGGCAAGGGGACAGTGCGGGGATGGGGTGCCACAGGGTTCCCGATGCAGCCGTGTGACCTGGCCTGAGACGAGGCAGTGTAGCCAAGGTGGATGTGGGATGAGGGACTGGAGGGCTGAGGACCAGAGTTCCAGGCTGAGGGGTGAGTGGAGGGAGGGGAGCTGTGAGGAGAGGCAGCCAGGGGGGTGAGACCAGGGCACCCCGAGCAGCTGGCCAGGGACAGAACTGTGCAACCTGCAGGGCTGCATGTGCACACTTTCGAGGGCATGCTGTAGTACACACGTGTGCAAACACTGCATATACCCACACAGACATGCTTTATCTGTGTATATGCTGCATGCACCACACATGTGATGTGATCATTATATGCACACACAGAGAACATACATATATACAAAGTGTGTGCTGGATACACATAGTACACACCAGTGCCTATGCATACATACAAAAGACAGGTTCATACATAAATTCACACCGAACACATCAAACACTGCAGACACAGACACATCACACACATATACACATCACACACAATGCTGTGTACATATAAACACTGCAGGCATACACAGGGACACCACACACGTACAGATGCTGTGCACTCAAACACTGCAGGCACACAGGGATGTCATACATGTGTACACAGAGGTGTGATACATACATAAACACTGTAGACACAGGCACACCACATGTGCACACAGAGGCTGTGCACACACAAGCACTGCAGGCACACAGGGACACCACACACATACACAGAGGCTGTGCGCACGGATATAAACACTACAAGCACACACAGGGATGTCATACACATGTACACAGAGGGGCTGTACACAAACACTGCAGACACACATAGGTACACCACACACACACACACACATACACACACAGGCTGTGCACACAGACGCATACATGCCTGTGGTCCCTGTCTGCCAGCTGAGCAGTTGTATGGCCAGGCAGTGTTCCCTGGCTTTTGTTCAGGACAGCAAGACTTCATTTGTGAGGTGTCAGCCTTACCCAGGGTTTCAGGGGCAGCTGCTTCGCCTGTCAGGGGCAGCGTTATCTGGTGGGCCAGGGCCAGCATTTCTGATGTGTTAGCTGTGGCACTCCTTGATGCATCTCTAACATGCAGTGGGAAGGAGAAAAACCAGCAGAGACCACCAGGCTTGGGTAAAGGCAACATGCCCTGAAATTCATTGTGGCTGGGTGCAGGCAGAGAGTGCGATAGACTGCTGTGAACAAACCCTTCTATAGGAATGGAGAGAAGGCAGGGGACATTAGGTGGGGAGATCCCAATAAGCATCTGTGGTCAAAATTTTCTGGCAGTCTTGGCATCTCAGTGGGCAGAATCCTTGAAGTCTCCCATGTAGATTCTCAGGTGTCTCCAGGCATCCCCAGATGTCTCAGGAGCTGCAAAATTCCTTGCCCTCTTATCTCCTTTCCTGTGCTTGCCATGCAGGGAACTGGGCTAAGTTCCTTGCTGAGAGCTGAGTTTCCTGCAGAGAGTAGTGCTTCTGCGGGCAAGCAGGCTGGGGGCTGAGGGAGGCAGGTCCGATTGGAACCTTACAGTGCAGCGTTGCCTGATCTGTCGGGGGCAGTGCCACCTGCCCTGCCTGCTTGGACACTCTGCACCCACAGGGAGGGTGTCCGCTGGGTGCACTGTGCCCTGGTCGTGAGAGACCCACCTCAGCGCTTCCGGCTGGGGGGTCAGTGCCCACTTGAGTTGGCAGCAGGAACACATCCTGAGCTTGTCTTCTGATGGGCCTTGTTTTAGGTAACACTGATTAGCACACCCGAGCCCCAGCTGTGGCTGGCGGCCTCAGCATGAGCGACCTGCTGGTGTCTGGGGCCACACGATTGATGCGTAGGATGTCCTTCAACACCAGCCAGTCCTTTGCCCCACCCCAAGGTGCACATCACTGTGTGGAACAGAGGCAGGCACAGCACCTGGGTCCCCTCCCGGAGGACCCAGAGCCTGACTGGTGCGTACAGTGTGGCTCCCTGGCTGCTCCCTGGAGATCACAGGCCGTGAGATGGCCTCTGGCTCTGCCATGAGCAGGGACCCGACCACAGGGGTAGGGTGGCATGGTGTAGTGGCCGGTGTTCACCACTGAACTTCTGCTTCCGTGGTGATGGGTGGCCGAAGTCTGTCCCGCTGGTGGGCTCTGCAGACCCTGGCTGTGTGGAGCCAGCTGTCGTGTGAGCTGTGGCGCAGAGCAGAGCACTCAGTAGGGAAAGCAGCTGCATGTTCAGTGCAGTGAGGTCGTCGTTTCCACCAAGGCGGGCTGGGCCCTTTCCTCCTGCTGTCTCAGTGTCTGCAAGGATTGGCCCCCAGGGAGAGACCCAAGGCCTTACTGGGCGGGTGTCTGGTGTCCCCTACAGCCGCTGCACCGAGAGCTGCCATCAGAGTGGGTGTCTGGTGGTCTCCCCTGGCCAGAGACTCTGGTGGCAGCATGGTCACTCTCAGAAATGCAGAGCTGTCTTAGTCGTTCTCTGTCGCTCTGCAAAACACTTGGCTCTGGCTCTTCATAAAGTAAGATGTTCCCTGGGCTCACCGTCTGGAGCTGAGATCCAAAGGTAGGGTGCAGTCTGGCCAGGCCCCTTCACTGCTGTGAGAGAGGCGGGTCCCAGGCACAGAGCCTGGTTACTGCGACTTTGCCTGCATGGGCAGCGGCCCCCAGTCCTGGTGCTGCACCTGCTGGTGGAGCCAGGGTGATGCTCCTGACTCGCTGCCCAGAGGACAGCATGGTCCACAGAGTGTCGGAGGGCCGTGAAGGTCAGAACGCAAAGCTCTGAGTGCAGGATGACCACAGTCCTTCCGGTGCCCAGTGTACCCAGGAGGGCCTGCGGGGCTGCTGGTCAGTGTAGTGGCTCCATCATGGCTGCTGTGTCCATGCTGTGGGGCAGCAGCTGCAGGGAGTTGGTGATAATCCACTGCCACACGCGGCCTGTGAGTGCAGACCCCTCCTCACCGCTACTGCCTCGGGATCTGCTGGCCTAGACCTGCCCTTCTCGCCCTATCAACCCGCTGGGAAGGGATAGGGAGCGGGCTGGACATGGTCATGCTCTTTCCTGAGCCCTCTCCACGGGCGAGTCCCAACGGACGGGGACGTTCCTCTAGCATGTGTGTGGCTCAAGACTGAGACACCTGGGACATCCCAGTCCAAGAGCAGAGGCCACAGCGCCCTGGGGCCTCCCATGCAGGTGGGCAGATGGGAACTGCGCATCTGTGTCCTGAGAGAGGTTCTCACTACAGGTTCCTGGAACGATAGGCCTCAGGCCCTAGGTGCGGGGAGGGGAGGCCACAGACAGAGCTGTTGGAATGTGTGGACACACAGGTCTGTGCGTGTGGATATTGCAAGGCAGGGTTCTCTGGAGGGCGACGTCTCCTCCCCAGGAAGGAGGTTGGCCTCGGGCAGACATGTTTGGGCAGTGTTGCACAGGTGATTGTTGTGACATTTTCAGTCATCACTTCTCTTTTATTGGAAGACAATTCATTGCCTTTATTCATTATTTTCAGACCTTTTAAATCTTCCCCTGTGTCTTACACTAAGGGTAATTTAAAGGACTGGGCTCTGCTGTGTGCACACTGCCTGGACAGCATTAGCCTTGGGGTGTCCCCCAGGGTTTTGCCCCAGAGAGCGTCTCCTTGGGTAACTTTGACTCGGTGGTGGAGGGAGTGAGTCGCAAGGGCTTTTCCAGATGGCACAGGCTTTGGAGGCTGGGTGCTGGGTCTGGGCTACTCCTGGGGGTTGGGTTTGGTGGCATTCCTTGAGGGCCCTGACTGCCATGTCCAGCTGTAGGGGCTGCACAGGTGAGAGGACAGGAGGATGCTGGGTGGTGACTGGGGTGGGCAAGAATTGTATGAGCTGGGCTTGGCCGGCACCAAGGAGGTCCTGAGGAGTCGCAGAGCTCTGGGAAGGGGTGACCAAGAGTCTGGCTTCCCGTGGGTGCCCTTGTAGGCACAGGTTCCCCACCCGCCCCCTCTGGCTGGCGTCTGTGCTGGACAGGGACAGGGACAGGTCTGGCTATGCTCTTGTGGAGATGCAGAGAGAAGAGGAGTGACAGGAAATCGGGACAGGTGGCAGTGACAGACCAGATGTGGACCCAGACGTAGGAGACCTGGGCCAGACCCTCCTCCATCACCATGACAGCACGGTGCCCTGCTTTCCAGACGGGAAGCCGGTGGAGGTGGACCCTCACCACATCCTCATTGAAGACCCAGATGGCTCGTGCGCCCTCATCCTGGACACCCTCACAGGCGTGGACTCCGGCCAGTACATGTGCTTTGCAGCCAGTGCCGCCGGCAGTGCTAGCACCCTGGGGAAGATCCTGGTGCAAGGTGGGCAGGCACCTGTGCTGTGGGGGCTGTGGGCCTGGCATCTGGCATGGCAGAGCTCACGGGGGCCAAGCTGGCACTTCGTGGGGCACCATGGCCTCAGTGTGGTGCCCACTCCTCCCCACTCTCTCCTGTTTCTCTTTGCTTGCCTGGGTCTCTGTCTCCCTCTGACCTCCCACTCCCTCTCCCCACAGTCCCACCGCGGTTTGTGAGCAAGGTTCGAGCCGGGCCCTTTGTGGAGGGCGAGGACGCCCAGGTCACCTGCACCATTGAGGGTGCCCCTTACCCTCAGATCAGGTGCGCTGGGCAGTCTGGCCGAGTCAGAGCTGGGTCGGCACAGCTGCCAGACCCCGAGCAGTGGGCTGGGGGTACAGCCGGGCTGGGCTGTGAGGTGGGTGCCGGGAATGCGACTTGGCCGTGAGAAGGACACTGTGGGGTGTCCTTGCCTCACGGCCACCGGGGGTTCCAGGTGGTACAGGGACGGGGCCCCACTGAGCCTAGGCGGCAAGTACGGGATGCTGAGCGAGCCCCGCAGTGGGATGCTGGCGCTGGTGATCCGGGCGGCCGGCCACAAGGACCTGGGGCACTATGAGTGCGAGGTGAGGAGGCGAGGGGGCACATCTTACTGGGGGGCGCAGCCGTTGAGGTCACCCTTTCCCAGACTGTTCTTGGCTGTCCCCAGCCTGCAGCCAGCCTCCCAGCTCCCGCAGCTGCAGGGCCTCTGCTTCTTGGTCTCCCTTGGCATCGTCTCTGGATGCAGTACCTGGTCCCTGTTTTCTGTGTCCACAGGCCCAGGGCTAGGGCTCCTCGTGGGGACCCCACATAGCCAGGCACCACTATGGTGCTCTGGGAGCCCCAGTGCTGGCCATGACAGCTCCCATGGGACCTACTCAGCGGCCAGTGTCCTCCGTGTGGCTTCTGCTTTGGCTGGGAACCCTGCGCCATGGATGTACTGGGAAGCCAGGGACTTTTGCATAGTTTGATGCATTTGCTGCTGGCCATGTACAGTGCTTAAGTTTACACTGAAGTCCATTAAAATTAAACCCAGTCCAAGATCCATGCTCCTTGGGGAGTGCCCATCACTGCAGGGGGCCCTGTCCCCTATCAGAGCACAGCCAAGGTGGGGACTGTACAGATGCTGGTGTGGCCCTGAGGTGGCCTGGCTCCATAGGAAGCAGGGTCCCAGGGCACCTCTGCTGTCATTTTGCAGCTGGTGAACCGGCTGGGCACAGCCCGAGGGGGCGCGGAGCTGAGCGTGCAGAGTCCTGTGCTCCGGGCCCAGGACCAGCACAGGGAGCCGCTCTTGGCTGCCATGGAAGGTAGGTCTTGTCACGCGCCTGTCACCTTGGCGCTCCCAGGCTGCACCTCAGGCTGATACCCTGTAGGCCTGGGCAGGATTCAGGGGTCCTGAATGTTACCTCTCATGCTTAGGCTGCACTTCTGGAGGCTGGGTTGGGGTCCCCGGAGAAAGGGCCGTGGCTGGAGACGAGGGGGCTGCTGCTAGCGCCCATGGGGCTGGCAGGTAAAGCTGAGGGCTGGGAGACAGCACAGTGCCGGATACTTGGGCTTGGTCAGGCAGCAGGAATGGTGTGTCTTGGTGCAAGAGGGTCCACATGGGTGCACGCAGGGTCCTTGCCTCGCCTAGGGCCACTCCTGAGGTTCTGAGAGTGGACCGGTTACAGAGGAGCCTCATGAAGGACAGAGGTGAAAGGGGTCACAGCGTGCCATTCTTCTCCAGGGTCCCATCTGGCTCAGCTGTGCACAGGCAGCCAGTGTGTGGTGGAGGGCAGTGGGCATCTGTGCTGGGATGCCTACTTGGAGCTGCTCCCTAAGGGGGCCGCCTGGGTTGGTGGCAGGCCTTCCGATTCTGGGGACATGCAAGCAGAGGCAGAGCGAGCTCTGGTGGAGCTGCACCCTCCTTATCCACCAGCCCTGACCTGTGGGTGTTCATGGGACCAGTCTCCCCCAGTGCCGGACATCAGGGGCTCTGTGTTCTGCAGCCATCGTGGAGACTGTGTGTTTCAGGGCAGAGGTCCTGCTCCTTGTCCCCCATACAGCCAGGACTCTGGCTACACCCCTGTCACTCTGAATCCCTCTGTGTGGCCTGTGTCTGTTGGGCCATGGCATTTGTCAGCCTATGACAGTACCCGCAGCACCAGGCACGCGTGCTTCAGGGCCACTGGCTTCTGTGCACCCCTTCTCAGCCGGGAAGCACCCTCTGTGTGTGCTCCTGGGTGTCATGGTGGGGTCTTTCTGCATGTGGAGGAGGGTGGCAATGTAGAGAGAGGCCTGGGGCCACTGGGGCCAGATGCGTCACGAACACCTTGGCAAGGCCGGGGGCTGGCACTGGAGACCTGGTGTGGAGCCCAGACCCCGCTTTCTAACTCCTGTCTGTGGCTTTACCTCACCTGGCTCTGCAGCCCAGTGGGCACAGCCCCTCGCTTGTGCATCTGCCTGGCTGGGAGCCCCGCTTCACGCAGCTGCTCCTTCCGTCATCAAAAATACTTACTGCCCAGTGCTGGCATTCAGGGCCACAAGCACAAGTGCCAGGTCTTCAGCAGCCCACAGTGCCTAAGCTGCCACTCCAGGAGCAGCAGGACCTGCAGGGACTGTAAAGGAGAAGTCCTTGTGTTCCCACTCCTACGTCCCTTCCCCTCCGTCCAGATCCAGAGCTTGCAGCTGGGCCCTGGGTCACCCCCTAGGGGCTCCCCTTTCTCCAGAGAGCAGCCTGTGCAAACATGCACATTCAGACACGTAGACACGTGGGCACATCACACACACACGAACAAGCACAGACATCCAGGCACA